AGTTCGGTGCTTAAGCAGGTTATGTAGCTACAAACCTGAAATAAGAATCCAGTAGAGTTTTAGTAGATGATAATAGTTGTATACTGAAGGGAATGACCTTTTCAGGTGTCATTATCCTGGGTTTAATAAATGTATTGCTACTATCGTTGTGGTGCTGGCTCCAGACACATATTTATAACATAGAGTAGTTGCTTAGCATAATCATGCTCACTATAATGCAATAGCGACTTGCAAAAGCCAAATTTCTGCATATTGCAGCTTACTGATATGTAAGAATTTCATGTTTTTCTCTGACATGATAACTACGTTCATGTATATTTTTATCCGTCTTGATGATTGCAGGCTTTTTGAGTATCTCGCTGAGAATTCCTTGGACTTTCCCGTCATTCATCATATGGAGTTCCCTAACCAAATTCACAGGTAAAATCAGAACCACAATCAGTTTGCTTGGGTGAGATGAACTTTTAACTCATATGTTTCTGCTTACTGGCAGGGATGATTTAGTCATTAGTGCTGGGACTAGTGCAGGAGGCCTCCTGGTCGATGGGCTTGGAGATGGTATACTATTGGAAGCCCCAGATCAAGACTTCGAGTTCCTTAGAAATACATCTTTCAATTTGCTACAGGGTTGTAGAATGCGAAATACCAAGACGGTAAGAGAATTTGTATTGATGAAGAAAAAAATTAATCTAATAAGAGACTCCTGACTGACTTAATCTGCAACGATGCTAATTTCAGGAGTATGTCTCATGCCCATCTTGTGGAAGGACTTTATTTGACCTTCAAGAGATCAGTGCACAAATAAGAGAGAAGACATCCCACTTGCCTGGTGTTTCGGTGATTACAAAATCTCTACGCCATTTGTGTTGCACACTTAAACAATACAATAATCCAAATTTTAGCTTATTTTTTTTCGTCAGCAGTATAATTCATTAGTGATACTACTTTTACTTTAAGATGGCCAAATGTGTGACCTTTTCATGTATTCTTTTCCTATGCAGATCGCAATCATGGGTTGCATTGTGAACGGCCCAGGAGAAATGGCTGATGCAGATTTTGGGTATGTTGGTGGTGCTCCTGGAAAGATCGACCTTTATGTCGGCAAGGTAAATATGCCGTGTATTCTTTTTTGATAAAGATCCACCTTTATGTCTTTAGTTTGAAATATTGAGAGAGTATTGATGCCAGAAAGTGGTAGCATTTGAAGATTTAAGAGTATACATGCCAGAAAGATTTGGAAAAAAGTTAAAAAATATAGTGTGTGAAAAAGAAATCTAGTTTGAAATTTCCTAGTATTAGGTTTTCTACATCAAATATGTCCATCTATAGGGGTGGAGTCAGCACCTGGCGAGCCACTACAACTGCTTGTGTTGGCTTTGCCGGAATTTTTTTTAATTATATTGGGTGGCCAATCGAGTGGTTGTCCGTGCTCACTTGGTTCCACCTGTACTCACTTGGATTCCTGGATCTGTTCCTGTCCATCCGTGATTTGAGAAACCCTTACACATGCAATGCATACACGAACCAATTAAGTTGTCAATTACTTGTAGCTCTTTCATTTGCTTGATCCACGAGTTTCGAACTAATTCTCTATTTTTCGGGTCAATATATGGCTACTTGTATTGGTTCTGACTGACACGTGTTGGCTAATTTTATGGAAATCAGACTGTGGTGAAAAGAGGCATAGCTATGGAGCATGCAACAGATGCCCTGATCCAGCTTATTAAAGATCATGACCGTTGGGTGGATCCTCCCACAGAAGAGTAAGAACATGCAGTTTCGGAAGAAATAAGGTAGCAATATATATTAATGTTGCGTTAGAAGAGTTGCCTGAAGCTTAAAATGAATACTATTTAGTGTATCAAATTCTGCAGTATAAATACAGTCTATTCTGTAGATCTATTACATATTTACATGAATCGTCTTATATTTGCTATTGTCGAATGAAATGAATATTATGGTCGGGACATCGATTCGTGTGTGGAAGTGTGATATGGCTTGGTCGGCATCTGGGAGGCCCGGAGAAACCGAAAAAATTGCTAACGTGGCATCTAGCCTAGTTGGCATCCACGTGGCCAGTCTTCGTGGAACAGTGACGTAACATGTTATATAGTTCAAGAAAAACACATAAGCTGATCTTAACCTACGAATCTCGAGTTTTTAAAAATTTTTGTTTCGGTACAAATTGTACAATTATTTTAATTAAGTTACTCGAGAAAATGAAGAAATGGAAACCCATTTATATATATTTGATTTGACTAAGACTAGGAGTAGATGACTAGATGTTGTTAAGCAATCGCAAACTAGTACTATGTATGTGAGGGTGCGTTGTAATTAAATTAATTACCAATCAAGAATTTTATCAAATTAAAATGTTTTAAATTCAATCTAGTTACAAATGTTGGAGAAATTTGACAAAATTGTCTTTATTTTTGAAAGGAAAAACTTTTAATTGAAAATATTTAAATTCAATAGTTATCCTATGAAACACTTTCAATTTGAGAATTATGTTTCTTTCCTTTGGTTTTACCTTTTCGTTTTGATACTATTTCGTTCATTTCATAAAACATTATCACTTCTCGTTCAAGATTTGCAATTTTTTTATTATTATTTTTTAATGATCACGTCTAAAAGTTATATATATGATTTTTTAAGTTTCATTTAATCATAAATTTTATAGAATGTCAAAAGTCAACAAACATTTTGTTTCTAATATATACAATTCTTTAAAGAAGGTCAGATTTACAGATTAGAAGGTTAGGCGTGTCAGTTACTTTGTGATGGCGATCAGGGTCGAATCTGTGATTATCAGCGCCTGAGACGAAATCTGTAAATTAGGCCCCTAGCGAAAACAACTTAAATGCAAAATTTAACGATGTATTATGTGATCAATTGATAACTTAAAAAACTAACATTAAAACAACAACCAAATATATTACCTATTTACCCAAAATTTCCACATTGTTAAATTCTAAAACAACAACCAAATTGTTGAATTTGAAACACATAAAAATTTATTTTTACTATACAAAGAACTTGTACAACTAATTTTTGACACACGCACCTTACTAAAATAATTTCACTCTAAGCAAGCGCCTCAATCTTTAATTATATCATTTCTCTAAATACTCTTACAATAATGCACTGCCCGTCTGCCTCTCTGTGTCTTTCTTTCTGACTATTCTTCCTGCTTTCTTACTTTCTCTCTCACTAATCTCTTTCTTTCTGCCCACTATCTTCACACTTTTAGGCATACACATATATTTTGTTTTTCACTTCTTTCATCTACTTAAACTCAAAATGGAGACGTTGTACACATGCATATATATATGGCGAGCTATTGTTAGTGGAAGATTTCTCTACACAATTCCAGCAAATCGGTGTAGGTGGACACAAATAATTCTTACCAATTTGGATTATTCTAGACTTCTTCTAGATTATGAAGCAATTTTGGAGACATAGGTTGCTGTAGGCCTTGCAGAATCCATAATTGAAGGTAATCTGAAACTTTCTTCCTAAGTCGGTGTTGTATCTCCATGCAAGAGGAGAGGTGGCGAGCTGGAGTCTGTGGGGAAAGGCAAATGATTTCTCCTTCAGATTTTTCATGTAATTGCACCAAAAAAAAAAAAAAAAAAAAAAAAAGGGAAAAAAAGGCACTTTTTACGACAAGAAGATGCTTGAAGGTGGAGGCAAATGCAAAAAGTTTGGAAAATGTGGGAACTACGAATATTGGGAAATTTTTTTTTATAGAATTCACCTTCAGCGTGGGATTCCATTTTTTTGGCCACAAAAGGAGTATGTTCTTGGAAGTTTTGTGGAGAATGGGTTTGTTTATAGACAATCCTTTGTCATATAAGGTGTTGACCTCGAGAATTGGACCTTCCACGTGGCCGGAGATATTTACGAGGAAGGAGGCACCACATCTTAGCTTTTAAAGAATAGTTATGACTCATATTGAATTCATTTGTAAGTCAGACTTGGACTGCATGTGGTTTAAGGACTATATGTTGTGTCATGCCAGCCCACAGTTCTAGTGATATGTTACATAAGCAATTAGAGCCCTGTTATTCAAACAGAGGCCAGGACACGAGCTAAGGTGGCCACCTCAGCACCTGTCACAAGGATCTGTCAAAAGCCCCCGTTTGAGTAGCATAAATCAAGCGATTATTATCATCCTACAATCAATACATTTGTAATAAAAGTCCTGACCAAATCTTACTACATCCACGTGTGAAATTGTAAACTGCTTTTAGTTAAAAAAAAAATAAAAAATAATAATAATAAATAAATAAAAAAAAATATATATAAAGCGAGAAAATAATAAAAGATTTTAAGAAAAGTATATGAAGAGCTAAATATAAAGAGTAGTGATGGGCGTGGATCAAGTTGAGTCAATTTTGGACCAATCCGAAATTGAAACCAACTTATTCGGTTGGGGAGAAATCTAACCAAAAATCAATCTAATCCATATTTGAAGCTGAAGTGATTTAAGCCATTGGTTCAAATTCAATGAATATCAGTAGACGGCAATGTTTAAAATGTGATGCTTTAATCCATTACGTACTAAATTCAGAATCTAAATTGAGAAAATGAACTAATTTTGATTCATAAAGAACTTTGCTTGACTGCATTTATGATTATATCAAACGTTTGATTATTAGGAAGAAAACAGATTTCTTGAATCTTGATGATTCTCTTCAAATTATAGAGCAACAATCATTGGAGACGAACAAGAGAGGGGCGAAGCAACGGCAACAAGCGGAATAATGAGGGCTAGTAGAACAAGACATGTACAAGGCAACTAATTTTTAGGCAATTAGATTATGAGAGTTGAAAAACGATAAATATCACAATAGTCGTCGATTGGAGATAAGAGACAAAGTGCAATTAAGACCCCGTTTGGAAAAAAATGGGAGTCAAACGGGAGCTAAATTTTTTTGAAAGTCAAAACTTTGAACTTTATTTGATTTAAATTTTTTTATTAATAACGAATGAGTTGTCTATTTGGGTTGGTTGCTTAACCCATGAACCATATCGACCCAATAATTATCAAATTGGAAGCTACCAGAACCAAACCTCCTAACAATCCCATACCGACCGGAATTGAGTTGTCAAGTTGGTCTATTTAGCTGGTAGTTTGCCCATTCCTAATAAACAGTTTATTGAAGTACACCTAGGGGATGAAATAATCGGGTTCAGTACACATACACAGAGAGAAAAATAACTGTT